CTGGTAGAAAAGTAAAAAAAAAAAAAAAGTGCTAATTTGTGTAGCTTCCTTTTCTGATCAGCCCTTTTCTTGTACACGTTTTAATCAATATTTTCATTGTTTTTTTGTTGAGGATTTTTCTTTTCCCTAGAGTAATAAGGGACAAAGAAGCAATTTTAGTGGTAATAATTTTGTCGGTTTGTTTACAACGTAAAATAATTTAGGGTAGGTATATTTGTGTACATCCCGACTGGTTGTAAATAAATGAAATTTGTAAATAACAGCAGAGCACTCTAATAGATAAAATGTCTCAAAACATCGTCAAATCAGTAGTTAGAATGCTATAAAATTAGGACTCGTCTCTGGGTGACGCAACATCTAAACATCCCAAAACAACCATGGGGGACACTGAATTTTTTGTGTATATGTACGTATATATGTATAAGTAGACTTAGATATCTTATTTACAATAAAAGTTAGATACGTTGATTAGTACCGTCACCTAATTTAGTAATTACGTCACTCGGTACACTATTATGTAATGTTATGACTAAATATTTTTGAATTAATCTTTCTTACATTTTTAATGTAGTTGATTAAGGCTTTCTTAATAGTTTAATAGTTTGATTTTGATAGTGATACTTTGTAAATATTAGTTTAAGGGTCCTCAAATATTGATTTCCCTACCTGGAAATTAAATTTTACCAACTTCTCTTTTGGTTGATTTATAATACTACGCTTCCCTTATTTTGATTTTCTTGTACACTTTTTTTTAATCTATTTTTTTATATGAATTGACTCCGTTTTGGCCACTAGCTTCATAGGTCCCTAAACAACTTCTCTCCTCACTAGTCACTATGGCCCAAGGTTAGCAAACCTGCATCCATCGTCCAAAAAAAAGGAACTCCAGCAGAGAAAGAAACATATCTGGATATTTCAATGATTTGTTTTCTAAACACCGACCATCTCAATATTCAAGAACAAGAAATAAGATTAATCAGTATAATCAACCTAATCTTTTCTTATTCAATACTCTTTCACTTTGGAGCACTATCTCAATAAATATTTTTTGCTATATATTTGCTCTCTATTCAGATTTTTTTCTCTTTTGAATTCAGTCTTTTAAAATGCTCTCCAGTACTTGTTATTATAAAAAATCGTTTCTTACCATTCTATATTGGCTTGTACACATGGATTGTGTTTCAAATAAATATAAAAACTGTTCCGATCACTTTTTTACTGTATCATATGACTTTTTCCATGTTAACTTGTGATATTATATGTTTTTTAAGTAGGCAAGCCACTTAAACTTCTAGGGATTTTAAAATCCGATACATGAACTTTCAACTTTTTTATTTGAACACTCGAATTCATTTTTTCGGTAACTAATAAACGCATTTGACCATTAACCATGAGCGCGTGTACTACACATACGTGTCCATCTAGTCAGCAAATGACCAATGGATGTCTTACATGTCAAGGCCGCGAAAACCTTAACCCAATAGATCGGAATCCCCTCTTTTATTCCATAGACCAACCCCCATCCCCTCATTTTAACCTCTCTCTAACCAAACCCTCCCCGTTATACCTAGGTTACTAATGGGCTAACAATCACTCAACCCATTTCCAAATCGATCATAATCACTCACCTATTTTTTTGTTTTCGTTTATTATATGTGAATCTCGTTCTGATAGAGCTTTGTTTGGTCCGTGCTTTCAATTTCAGTGACGTTATATGATCTAAAGGTTCGTCTGTCTCTTTTCGATTCCATTATTTTCACGGTCTGGAAAAAGAAAAAAAAAAGAAAAATGGAGCTTCAGATTTTACAAATGGGAGGAATGGAGCTTCAGATTTTACAAATGGGAGGAATGGAGCTTCAGATTTTTAAAAAACAATGGAGGAATAGGGTATTTTAGAAGGAATGAATAAGAAGACACTTAAATACAACTCATTTTGTACCGTTACGCATTGGGAAGGGGTCTTTCACGCTCCTGTGCGTCCTGTTCCTCACACGACCTGCTGATTAGGACTAACTGATGCCACATGGGCATGGTCAATGGTCAAATGTGTTTATTAGTTATCGAAAAAATGAGTTCGAGTGTTACTACTAGATATCCGCTAAAAACCGACCAAGCCGTACCGACCATCATTGGTCGGTCAAAAAAGAGACCAAAAAACCGTCCAACATGGACGGAAACAACAAAAGAAATATTTTACATTTTTCTTAAATTACATACCGACCAAATAAACATTTTGACTACCCACCAACTTTGATCGGTAATGTGGACCCAATTTTTTAAATTTTAATAATTATATTATTATTTAAAATATTTTATAAAATTTAAAGAATTTATATTTAAAATTACCGACCAAAGTTGGTCGGCTATTAGGTGAACATTGGTCAAACTATCACTTTAAAATTTACTATCTAAATAATATAAAAATAATTTGTTAACACTTTATTTTGTAATACAAATGATGAATACACTAACATATACTATAACAATATATAGTTAAAGTATTATAAAACTGTCTCTCTCTCTCTCTCTCTCTCTCTCTATATATATATATATATATATATATATATATATATATATATATATATATATATATAAACGCTAGGACCATAGGGTCGGGTTCTTTTGGGGATAGACTTGTGAAGAAGCAATAATCTAATTAGTATATATAATTGATCATCATCAAATATATCTATTTGTAAATTGATGAGTATATATAATTGATCATCATCAAATATATCTATTTGTAAATTGATTCATCAACTTATAACTTACTTAGATGCATCCATGAATATTAAGAACAAAACGTTTGACCTATATCGATTGATAGTAAAAACAAAACGTCTCGACCTATATCGATTAACCTATGTCATGCATTATTAGTGATGAATGAATGAAAAATAGAAGAATTAATACAAAACATCTTTGACATGAATATATATATGGATCACAAATTAAAGAAACGAAAGAAGTTATCAGCATTAAGTAAACGAGTTAATAGGTCAAACATGGTCAAACTTTTAATTTGAATCACATTAATATTTACTATCTAAATAATATAAATGTAATCCGTTAATACATTTGTAATACAAATAATAAATACACTAACATATACTATAACATGCTATATATGTAGTTAAAGTAGTACAACGAAGCGCGTGTGTGTGTGTATGTATATATATATATATATACACACACAAACATATACTATAACAAGCTATATATAGTTAAAGTATTACAATGAAGTATGTGTGTGTGTGTGTGTATGTGTGTATATATATATATATATATATATATATATATATATATATATATATAAGAACACGAAGCCCTAGGACCACAGGGTCGGGTTCTTTTAGGAATAGACTTGTGAAGAAGCAATAATCTAATTAGTATATATAATTTATCAGCAAATATATCTATTTATAAATTGATTCATCGACTTATAACTTACTTATATGAATCGATGAATGTTAAAANACTTTGTTTACCAACAAAATCTTAATACTCAACATATATTATAACCAATTCCGAGTGCACTAGATGAACAATCATGTGATATAAATCGGGATTTGTACGTCGTTCAATGGGATAGATCACTAAGAGCACTACTATAGTTGCATTTCGAATTTCTGCTCAATATGAAAGAAGAGTATAATTAAAAATCAACACCTACCTTTCCAACACAATTATAAAATACTAGCTTTGATACATATAAAAAAGTTTCTAATTGGCCTCCCGTGATTGAGTCCCAATAGAGTTGAGCCACTTTAAAGTCACTACACCGGCATATAAAATATATGCTCCTCCACATTTAAGCAAAGTGGCTTTAATGTGTGACCTAAGTGTTGGGTTTTTAAGGTATTTAATTAATATATTAAATACTTAAAAGAGGGTGAATGGGAAATGGAGGGAAATGAAATTTTTGAGTGAAATTTTAAGTTCCCCCTCCCTTGGCAAATGGGCATTGTCCCATATTGGAAGAGGAAGAGGTTTTTTATGGGTATATAAGCAATTGCTCTTCTTCTAGCTCTTAAAGAGTTGAGAAGAAGGCAAGCTTCGCGCCGTCGTCGTCGTCGCTCGCTCGGCTTCGGCTTCGGCTTCGGATTTGGTCAAATGATTGATTGATTAACTTTTTGGACCAAATTTATTTGTTAATAGTAAAATATTAACTTTGGTAACAGAAAAGTAACTACCCTCTTCAATTTTCCCTCTTTATTTTCCCTCTTTATTATTGAGTAAATGGCCATTTATGTAATGGCATTTATGTTGTGGGCGTTTTGCATAAACAGCCATTCTGAAGAGACCCAACTTTGGCTATATATACTACACTATTCTGCTCAGAATTTTAACTACAATTTTCTGAGTTTCCTCTCCTTCTTCTGCATACTTTTAGCATCAAAACAAAGCAAAAAGTAAGTGTGATTTGCTACCGAACTTTGTGTTCGCTGAAACACTGGGGTTTGAAGTACCACTACACCAGTGTGTAATTCGTTCTATCCTGGGAGGAAATAATCCATAACCTTGGGTACTAGGAGGGGATTAAATTCCTTAAGGAAACACTGTGAATTCAGTGGGCTCGAATTGGTTTATGTCATTTCTGTTTATATTCATTACTGTTTATATTCATTTATATTTCCAGAATTTATTTTACAAATACAGTGTAATAACACTAAGGTGATCGTAAACTGTGACCTGATCCAATGCGTAGCTCTTCCTTGTCCTTCGTTATTTGAATAACTTCAAAATGTTAACTTTAATAATTCTGAGTTCTTTAAAAGAAGTTAAGAACTAGTCTCTTATATTTAATTTTACTTGTCTATTTTAACAAATCAAGAGAAATTTATTGTTTTCTTTCATTATTATCTTTAGTATTAGATACACATATTTTTCAAATTTATTTGAAATTACAACTTTAATAACTATTAACAAAGATAATTTAGTAAATAATTTTTTGAGAGAGTGCCAAATCAAAAGAGGACTGACT